ATATCTCTGCCCATCTTGAAGATTTGGACAATCAAGTTTAAGCTTATGTAAAAACTAAGAGAACTGGACTTGGGTTTTACAAAATCTTAAGCTTAATTGTCCAAATCTTCAAGATGGGTAGAGGTATTGTTAACGTTGAGGTTGAAATCGACAAAAATTGATGTGGTTCAGGTTGTTTATTTGAATCCAAAGCTGGTTTGAGTTGTAAAATTCAGATTACGCGAGTTTGGGTATGAAAATGCCTTCGGAAAATAGTTTGGGTTGATTTTCCCCGTTTTCCCCAAATACAACCCTACATTTATGTGTAAGTCTAAATCGTTGACCTATTTTCTTATATGTTTGTCTAAAATATACAATCTCAAATGGGTAAATAATTAAAATGCTTATGGGATGGAAAAACATGACATATTAAGACGCACGAGACAAGATTTATGTCCCGAAATTGACAAACAACAATTGTTTTACTATTTTTGTAAGGTACAACTGTCTTTAATAAAAGTAAATCGTATCGTTTTTTTTTGTTTTATCTAATTTAAAAAAAAATCAAATATTGAATTGGTACTGATTTAGATTATAAATGTTAATAACATTCCTAAAAGTTACGTTTACAAACATAATCCTGTACGTACATAATATATTTTAAAATTTAATAACAAATTTTGTTTTTGAAATCAATCCCGCACGTACGTGCGGGTCCAAATCTAGTTAATAATAAGGAGATAATAAATTAGATATCAAATCTTATATACTCATTTTGATTGGAAATGTAGATATCAAATCTTATATATTCATTTTTATTGCTTAATGTTTTTTTGAAAATTAATAACGTATTTTCGTTTTAATAATTTAGTTAAATTTTATAAATTAGTATTTAATATTTTTATCCATAATGAATATTATTAATTTTTTCTTTGAAACATATATATATATATATAATGGCATTCTTATGTAATTATTTACCCTTAATAAGGTTTATTCTATAAATGTAATTCCGAATTAATTATAAGGAGATTACTACGAAGATTTATTAACTCATATTGACTTAATAATCTTTATTACTACAAATAATGTAAATTAGTTGAATTATTATCATATTAGTCTTTTATAAAATAATTCAATACAAGAAAACATGATATTTCCGATGACCAAATGAGGTGACAATATCAAAATTTCTCAAACTTTATTTATTTATTTATGTGCGTATATATATATATAGGATAAAAGGAAGCAAAATATTAATCTTTGACTAATATGTACAGATTAATTTGGATTAATTAAGCAACCAGCTTGGAATATATATATATATATATATATATTATCATAAATCCACAAAAAAAACAACTTCTAAATAAATTTGATCTTGAAGAAAAAAAATCCAAACTAAAGAAGGTGATGCGTGCATAGTTAGATACTTTTTTAAAAAATGTGGCTGGCACTAGCTAAGGTTTTACAACTAATTGGTTTTTAACCTCTTTTTAATTAGTATTTGTAGTTCAAAATTTGAACATTTTTTGCCAGATTCGAAAAGTTTAGGAAATCTATGTACTTTTGATTTTTTCTCAAAAAAATAAAATCATCTTGTCACTTTATATAATTTAAAGAAGTATAAAATATTTGATTTTGTTTGAAAATAGATAAAAGAAAATTTGAAATCTATGGATAACCGTAGTGGCTATCGAGTAAGAAATAGAAAGAGATTAAGAAGAGAATAGAGAAAGAGAGAGTCGATTGATTAAGAAAGGGAAGGAGAAATGACAAGTTTAATGTTGTGCTGTCTTAGCATGAGGAAAACCCTAACAATTGGAATCTTTTAAATACATAAGCTTTACTCTCCTTATCTTCTCTAACTTCCTGCTGCTTCTGCCTGATCTCACACCTTTCTTCATACAGGCTAAAGGAACGCTGAGCCTATCATCATTTACTATTTTATAACAAATCAGTTATTAGTAGGTGAAAATTCTTTATAAAAAAAATCGTTCTCCCATCAACATCTTTCCAAACTTCTATAAATATATTATACACCAAACTAATCTAAATAAATCTGTAATTTTGAAACAAACATATATAGTATATATTATGAAAATATTTCTTAATATAATTTTTCTTTTTGACATAAAACGCATTTGTATTTGTTATAAAATCACTATCACATTATGGTACTCCTCAATACTTATTTTTATAGTATAACCTTTTTCAACTAGTAATGACGTAAGCTCTTTTGGTGTTCTTCAAGTTTCGATCCAATGGATGGAGTTCCATGGTGATGGTGATACTAGGGTCGATTCCACCATCACTTTTTTGCACCTTCTTCCTCAATACTCGCTGTTCTTAAGATTCAACCTGAAAGAGAGGCTAGTATTGGAACTTTATACAGTATACAAGAAGGAATGTCGCTTTCCTTCTTTAATATTTTCAAGTACTTGGCAGGATTGCAAAATGATCGGATTGTTAATACAAAATCATTGTATGATTTTGATTATTAATTGTATGATTTAACCCGTGAAATATTACATGACATTTTTTTAGTATAATTGTAATTTGATCAACTTAACTAAATAAGTTTAATATTCAAAATAATGAAATGATGTTGGCATAATATCTTTCGTTTAAATAGTCGAGTTTCAGATTAAAATATTTTGTGAGTTTTATTATAGTAGACACCCCGTAAAAACATCTATAATCATAATTATGTAAATTATAATCCGTTCTACACAATTATCAATAATTCTTTAATATACATACCTTTTTGTATCATTTGAGTAATATACGTCCGTTTTCAAAAATTCGAATTGTAATATATGCAAAAAAAAAATTATAATATATTTTATGTAATAATATAAATTAAAAAAGAATATATATATATAAAGATATTGGAGAAATATTTGATTTATAAGGGAAAGATTTTAGTAAATTTTGTTAAATGTAATTAATATTTATTTCTAGTTTCGCAATTTTATTATGATTTAATTACATCATTCTGAGACCCCGGTTGCGGAGAGACTTATATGAATTGATTTGGTCACCTATGTCACCAAAGTGCATGGGAAAAGGGCCATTCCATACATGTACCCAACCGAGAAGTGTCAATTTCTACCTGTACAAACGAGCAGTGTCAATTTATACCTGTATTTTAATAAAATTCAAATTTCATACCTGAACGTTTTAAATCGAGCCGAATTTTGAGTCCACGTTAATAGAGCTAAGTCAACACTAACGGATGCTGACTCAGCCTCCGCGTGTGTGATGATGTGGCATCGTCTCCCATACGACGTCGTTATGCTTATTTGGCTTAGAAAAAAAATGTTGAAAAACCCAACACCCACATGGTTAGAACCCAAGTCCTCAAACACATTTAGCATGGGACTTAACCAGATGATCCCACAAAAATATTTAAAATAAAAAGTTTAATGTATTATAAAAATGAAAAGTTTAAAGAAATCGCCCAGCGGTGTCCAAAGGAGATGATCGAATCCGGGTGAGGAACATAAACATAAACTCATGATGATAATAATATTGTAAAAAGTAATCTAGATATAATACAAACTCTAAAATTATATAATTTTTAAAAAAAAACCATGTGCAAAACTAAATTATATAAAAAACTAAGAAAATGATCAACCAAACAAATATATTAAATTGTGAATCCGTCGTAAATTCTAGTTACCTATGTAACTTTTAAAATATTAGGGTTATTTGAGTTCTCTTTTTGTCCAAAGTACCCTTAATCTGTTTGATAGGAAAAAAATAAAATACTAAAATACCCTTAATTTTTTTATTCAAAATTTTCGGAATTGTTTTAAATATTTTAAAGTAATATGCCGTTTAGTTACCGCATATTTGTTTTTGGGTGGCAGATATTTTTTGTCACTGATTTTCTATAACAGACTTATTTTATCCCACAGATTTATTGTTTTAGGTTACCACAAATTAATTTTTTACTACAGATTTGTTTTCAATGACAGACTTATTGTCGACATAACGACAGACTTTTTGATTATACAATAACTTTTGTTTTAACAATGTCTATAGGTTTTCTTAAGACACAATAAATCTGTCATAACATGCCCAATTTGTTGACCAAAAAATAATTACTAGATTGACTTACAGTGGTAACCGTGTCCGGGATAGAGGGAGATAGGTATGATGATTGGAAAGACCTGAACAATAGGCATCTGATACTTTAATGGCGTGTTCACTGTAACAAGCCCCAAGGCCTCTCATCTGAAAAGGGTTGTTATGTTTTTCCGAGAAAGTTAGAAAGAAAGAGTAAAATGGAAAACCAAAGAAGAAGAAAGGTTTGATTTTTGTTTAAATATTTATTAAAGGTTGTATTTTTATAGAATTATTAGGATATCGATTTGATTAACAAAATTTATGTTTACCATATTATTAATAATAATATAACTAAAGCTAAAAAAAATTATATTCCCTAAAATGTAGCTATCATGAATAAATATAGGTAAAAAAAATGAATTGATTGTTGTTAATCAAATCTTTTAAAATGAAGGATTAAATAATTAAAGCTAAAACTTAGAGATTTATATTCTTTAAAATGTAGCTATAGTGATTAAATTTAGGTAATATTTTAATTGATTGTTGTTAATAAAATCTTTAAAATGACGCTTAAGATTTAATTTGATCTTTAAATTAACGTCTGTGATTAACTTATTAAATCTGATTAATATATCTAATAATTTTAAAAGATACACGTGTAAACCTGATTAATCATGTACTGTACTTTATTTCAATTAAAAACTTTGTTGTAAATCTAATGGGTACTTACCACCTAGCTCCGATTTAGCGTTTTAGGCGATAGGCGTTGCGTTACCACCTAGCGATTACATTTCTCCTATTGATTCTTAAAAAATAGTATTATCCAGGTTAAGTATCTTAACCATGAATCCATGATTTATCAGAACAAACACATTTGTAAAATTTTACAAAAACAACAGAAAAGATGAAAGTTTTTTTTTTTTTCATTAAATATCAAAAGGACCATATACATAAGCTGAATTCTGCTTTTTCTTTTTTTTCTTTTTTCATTAAATATCAAAAGGAGCATATACATAAGCTGAATTGTGCTTCAATACTAATAGTACTTGACGAAGAAAAAAGAAAAAAACTCAGAATCCATATAATGAAACTACCAAAAACTTTAAACCTTATAACCATTACAGATGCATTGTCATCAGAATCCGATATGACAATCATCATGGTCGCCATGTACTAATCCAATCCTTCAAACTTGCGACATTGTTAGAGATATCTTCGATTGTGTTACTTTGTAGCGCGGTGACAATTTCCTCTTCATAACTCTCGTTTGCTTCCTCGAGTAAGACTTGGTACATTTCACATTGAAGGTTGTTGCTAAGCTTGGTTCCTGAATAGCCTCTGCATTGGTCGAGAACAAAATCAGAACCTGCTAAAGCAAAACAACTAAACTAAACATAATTGAGAGAGATGAAATCGATGCAGACCTCCTAGTTAAACGGTCATACAAAACAGAGTTCTCCGTTTGAAGCACCACAACGCGATCAAACCATCGCTCGGGAAAGAACTCACAGCCATGGTAGTCCACAATGTTACCTCCTTCTTGCATTACATCTTCAAGCTCATCACACACCTGAATCCAAGTTAAATACAATAGCTAAGAAGGACTCTCTTCTCATGCCAAGCAAATGATTTGAAATTTTGAATGAGCTATCAAAAAAGTGTAATCCACAGTTTCCTTTACAATGAAACAAATCCATGCACAACTCCAACAATCAGAATTGTGTAAATCAAACTTTTTGGAACAATGTGAGACGCAACCAAGAAATCTAGCAAGACAAGATATCTAAATAACAAATTACATGTAAGGACTAAAGATTCGAAAGAGTAAAGCTTTATCTATGGCCAAAGTAGAAACAAGCAGCTCACTTAAGAATCAAACAAAAGTAAATTGAGTGACAACGAAACTAGGAATTAGGTTTACCAAATCTTCGTTGATAATGTGACAGTTGAACTCATTGTCCCACCCATCATGCAAGTTTTTCTCTTTGACGAGATCTCCGATGCAAATATACCGGAGATCCGAGGCTTCTGCCAAAGCAGAAGCCATCGTCGATTTGCCGGTACCAGGAGTCCCCGTAATTAGTAAGTTGGGCCTTTGGCGCCTTGCCCCATTGTTAACTCCCGCCATATTCAGCTCTCTCTCTCTCACTCTTTATTAACCTAAAGATGGCAGAAAGAAATTAGAAGTGAAGACGCAAAGAGATAATAATACTATGCTTAGGGTTTATCTGAATTTCAATTTTTAGTATATAATAAGATTACGAGCTTTTGATACTTGAATTGATACATCACAACAACATGGAAAGACAAATTTGAAAAAGTAAAAGCTATAAGCAAACCAGAAGATTCAATACAGATCTACGAATAAGACAGATCCTACACAGTGAACAGACAACTAAAGACAAATCTTTTTTTTTTTTTGTAAACTAAAGACATGAATAAAAAACACGAATCTGAAGCTAATGAGAATAGAGAAGACGAAGATCTAAAGCATAAAGAGCATAAAGAAGATGAAGATCGAAAACTTAAAAGAGGGAGGAGTCTCACCTGCAAGTAGGTATCGACGGAGAGAGGTCTTGCGGCTACGTTAGTGAGAAATATGAGAGAGCACACTAAAACAGAACGACGTCTAGGGATTTCGCATCCTCCTTGTGATTCTAGTTATTAAAAATAAACCCAAATCAAACAAGTGACTGATTATAGGTAACCGGTCGAACCGGCCAATCCGGTCCAGATGTGAAAACATGAATAATAAAACATCTATTAGATTTTAACCCACGCTACACCGCGGAACAATATTTTAAAATATATATTTTTAATTAATTTTGTTTGGTATATAAAACTATACTATTATATTTTGATTGTTAATTCTATAACTTAACCCGTAGAATATTATATGATAATTTATTTTTTATATAATTGTAATTTGATCAAAATTAATTACATAAGTATAATATTTAAAATAATGAAATGATACTGACATAATATTCGTTTACATAGTATAATTTCATATTAAAATATTTTGTAAGTTATACTATAGTAGACAACCCGTAAAAATATCTATAATCATAATTATGTAAATTATAAATGTTCCATCACATGACCCGTGTTACACAATTATTAATAATACTTAAGTACATCCATTTTTTGTATCGTTTGAGTAATATACATTCGTTTCTAAAAATTCAAATTGCAACATATGAAAAAAGAAAATTATATTTTTATCATACATATGTTTATGTAATAATATAAATTTAAAAACAAATAAGATCATATAAAAATGTTGGAGAAATCTTTGATTTATTAGGGAGAGATTTTAGGAAATCTTGTTAAATGTAATAAATATTGATTTCTAATTTTGCAATTTTATTATGATTTAATTACAAAATTTATCTTAAACTTTTTCTATTTAATAAAATGGCAAAGGTTTAATTATGCAAATACTATAAAATAAAAGGGTAGAACACAAAAAGTACTTCAAAATTGTTAATATAGATATTGATTTCTAATTTTGCAATTTTATTATGATTTAATTACAAAATTTATCTTAAACTTTTTCTATTTAATAAAATGACAAATGTTTAATTATGCAAATATTATAAAATAAAAAGGTAAAACACAAAAAATACTTCAAAAATGTTAATATAGACTAGGATCTACCCCGTGGTACACCACGGGTACATAATTTAATATATTTGTTTGGTTGGTCAGATTTTTGTAGTTGGTTTTTATAGTCTAGTTTTATACATACGTGTTTATTTCATTTAATTTTACATAATTTTATGAATTTGTATTATAAGTAGATTCATAGATATATGTTGTCAACTCGCGGTACACCGCGGAATAATTTTGCTGTAAAACAAATTATATTTTAACTTAACTCGTAAAAATATTTTATTATAGACAACCCGCAAGAAAAATAGAATCCTATGTATGTAAACTCAAATCCATCCAATCATATTAATGTACAATATTATTATATTTTAAAAAATTTAGAGTTAAAATATTAATTATACTTTAAATTAAGTGTTATTACATTAGAGCATTAGTAAGAGTTTCTACAATATTTTAAACCTTTCTAAGAAATTAAAATTTATAATAATTTGAAACTTTCTAAAAAATTATTTTTCTTAAATATATAACCGGATTAAATAGAATAAATTTTTTAATTTGGATGCCTAAGAAACCAAATTTCAT